CGCCAGCCCACTCAGACGCCGCACGGTCCCTCTTAGGCGGGGCCGAGACGCGCGGGCCCACCGCCTCTGCCGCCGGCGCACCTGGGCTACTCGGCGCTCCCGTCGCGCGGGGTTTAGAGGCACATCTGGCTGTATGGGTCGTCTTAGTCACTGCTAGCTTGGAAGTGTGTCCTCATCTCTGCTATGGCTCCGGCCGCTGATGAGGTCCGGACCGCTCCGCAGAGGGGCATGCAAGCGTTTAGGTGTCTCCAGCTGCTGCAAGTTCGGAAATGTTAAAAACTCCGCAGGCTTCTCGTGCTGGGCGGGCGGGCGCGCCTACTGCTCACCTGGAGCTCCGGGGTGCACCGCGAGCTCTGGGCGCCCGTAGGTCCTCGCGAGTTCTTACAGGTCTCTTGCGGCATGAGTCGCCCGTGTTGCGCTCGCAGCCGCGCCAGACTCCCCATCCCTACTCTGCATTCGCGTGGGATTTAAGAAAGAAGAATGCACGTGTGTACAAGTTTCAAATGTCATCAAGTGTAGAGTCCAGAAAAAATTTCGAGAATTATATATGGTGTATGAGATTTGACTTTAAATTTAAAACTGGAAATCCCATGGAAGAAAGCAGAGTCACTGTTTACAAATCTAATATCCCCTCCACCAATACTCTTTAGGTCAATTTCAGTTCTCTCTTCCTAAAATGTGGTGCTGGCAGAGACCGCACATACTTGTCACACGTTACCTGTCAAGGTTAATGACTCGTTTGAAAACCACTGATTTGCAATAACATTACTTATCATTAGATAAAAATAGTGGTGTCAGGGACCCACTCCAGACATTGAACAGAATATCTCTCAATGAGGCTCAGGAAAGATTTTAAAAGAACCTTAAGTGAATCCAATATGCTTTTAAGAATTTGCCTGCCCTTTTTATGTCACAGACAGATACTGCTGTAGAATTGAGCTCTTAGGCCTCCTGTGATTCCAAGGCAGCAGAGCCCAGAATGTTAAGACCATAACATCACATGATCTGGGGCTCTGCGTAAGGTGTTTATTAAAGAAATAATCTAGTTTAATACATTTTTAAGAAAAATTTTCTAAGAGTTGGAAAATCAATATGACATTGCTGGGTTTTTGAGTGGATTTTTTTTAAAAGGTGTGCAATGTCCCTATGTTCATTGCAGCATTATTTACAATAGCCAAAATATGAAAGCAAGCTACTGTCCATCGACAGACAGATAAAGAAGTCGCGCAATATGAAGTACTACTTGGCCATAAAAAAGAATGGAGTCTTAACATTTGTGATAACATAAATTGACCTGGAGGGTATTACGCTGAATGAAATAAGTCAGACAGAGAAAGACAAATACCATATGATTTCACTTATATGTAAAATCTAAAAAAACAAAACAGCAAAACTCAGATATAGAGAACAAACCGATGATTGTCATGTGGAAGGGGGTTGCGGGCTAAATGAAAAAGGTGAGGTACAAATTGATAGTTACAAAGTAGTCACGGGGATGTAAAGTACAGCATAGGAAAGTCAATAATATTGTAATAACTATCAATATTATGGGGGGATCACTTCCTAAGTTATATAAATGTCTAACCACTATGCTATACACTTAAAACTAATATAATATTGAATGTAATTGAAAAATAAATATAATAATAATTCATTAAAATATTGCAAGGAAAAAATAATGCTATAAAATTTTCCAACTAAAAAAATAATTAATTTAATATCAATTTAAGATAAATGAATATAATTTTCCTTACTATAAATCATTTGCTCTTTTTATAAAGAGCCTCCTGAAATTGCAATTAAAATTGAATTGTCGTTTAGACTTTTGTAATAGAACTAATTAAAATTAAATTAACATGCTAGGAAAAAGCCAACTGATTTTGAGTTAATTCTTCTATACAGACTCATCTACCTGTGAAGGTAACTGTCTCGATCTGGGCCCCACAACGAAACACCGTAACTGAGAGCTTAAACAGACATTTGTTTCTCACAGTTCTGAAGGCTGGAGGTCCAAGATTCATAGTACTCACCAATGAGTTGTATGAATTAATAAATATTTGATATCAATTAATTTTTAAAAGGTATGCAACAGTTACTATGCTAAAGGGTGCTAATTGGGTTGGAGTGGGCATGAGTGGAGGTCAGAGAAGGCTTTTTGAAGATGTGTCTCTTTAAACTGAAACCTGAGGGATGGAAAATGGAAGGTTCAGGCAGAGAGAATAGTATGTTTTATTTTATATTCTCATGTAGTTTTTATCACTTTTTTTTACACACATTAGAAATAGTATTGAGATAATGAGTAGTTTCGTTTTTTTTATAGATTCATACTGTCATATCGTCTACCCATTTCCAGCATCCCCACATTCCAAACACTAACAGCTGTTTCCCATCTAAAGAGGTGCTAAACACCCAATCTCAATATGGGGTGTGGGGGGTAGGTTCACCCACCACCAACAAGCAATTCTCCAGATACCAGCTGGATGAGCCAAAATTCAACTCAATTTTGACACTGTCTCCCTGAAGGTGCCTTCAGATTCCACAGGTTAGGGTCAGTCCTTTAGGTTATCAACTGTGTTTCTGACCCACTGGCTATAGCTTGGAGGTTCCTATGACCCCCTCCTTGGGTTTGATTAATTTACTGGAGCTACTCTCAAAGCTCAGAGAAACATTTTACTTACTTGATTACCAGTTTATTATAAAAGGATATAACTCGGAAACAGCCAGATGGAAGAGACGCATAGGACAAAGTATGGGGAAAGGGCAAGAAGCTTCCACGTCCTTTCCAAGTGCGCCATCCTCCCCAAATCTCCACGGATTCACCAACCCAGAAGCCCATCTTTTTGTTTTACAGAGGCTTCGTTACATAGACATGATTGGTTAAATCACTGGCTATTGGTGATTGATTCAACTTCCAGCCCATCTCCACTTGAGGTGGGCAAGGGCCTGGGGAGGGAGTAAAAGTTCCAACTGTTTAATCACATGATTGGTTCTTCTGGCAAATAGCCCCCATTCTTGGGTGGGTCCAAAAGTCACTTCATTAACATAACAAGAGACACCTTTAAGCTCTCATCACCTAAGGAATTTTAAGGGTTTTAGGATCTCTGTGCCTGAAATGGGGATGAAGACCAAATATATATTTTTTACTATAAATCACAATATCACACCAACCCAAAGCAAGCCTCAAGGCCCAAATAGAATCTAATCAACAAACAAATAGGACCCAAACATTTAAGGGCTCTGAGCTTTTACTGAGCTAGGCCTTTATTTACTCACTACTGGGAATGATCCTCAGACTACAAATGAGGTATTTCAATTTCACCTTTACAGAATCAACAGAAATATTGAAACTTAAGTTTTATAATTGTCCCCTGATCTCTACCACCAAATACCCCAGATTTTATTATCTGCCTGTAATAGCTGGAATATAGGCACCAGATAAATATTGCTAACAAATTATTTTCTGGGGTTTTCACTGAAAGGGCAAAACTACTTGTTTTATGATCTTAAATGATCATTCTCTGGGGAAAATGAAGAGGGGTGACGAGTGACCTTGTTCATATGCTCATTCCATCTGCTCTTCCAGATCCTGCCAGATCTCCTTCAGTTTCTGTGACCCTTGGACCAAGTATGTGTTTACCCCTGACAAAGGTGCCTACTGCTCCTGCATCTGTACATAGAAGTTGGAGGTTTGGAGGCAAGGAGATGCTAATGTGGGTTCCAGTGTATCCCAGAGGGTTCCAACTGGCCCCTGCAGGCTCCAGTTCATCCTCGCTCTCTCCCACTTCATGTCCATCTTTCCTTCCCGACTACCTGCCCTATGGACTGCAAGCCCCAGTGCCGAATGAAGAAGCAATAGCCTTCCAAACACCATTGAACGAGCTCAAACGATTGCTCATAAAGGCCCTATTCTCAAAACAAATCCCTCACTCTATGTCACTCCTAGCGGTTCTGCTTCTCTAATTAAACTCCAGTGGCACAGGAAATTAAATGTATAGAGTCTGACAACCTGATAGCACCACTTCCAGCTGTGTGACCTTTGGACAACTTACTCAGTGTGTATAAGCCTTACTTTCTCCATTCGTTAAATGGGTATAGTAATTCTCTCCTTCTAGGATCGTAGTGAGATAATAAATGAAAATCACTTAACAGTGTCTGCCTTCAATGGCATTGAACAAGTTTTTGGGGGGCAGCCAGGGTTGGGAGGAGCTGCCAGGTTTGGGGAATACAGTGAAGAACAAGGCAGGCAAGTGCCTGTTCTGATTGTGCTTGGGGTTTTATGGGGCAGGTTAGTAAGAATTAGTAGGTATATTGGGTGGTAAACACACAATACAATGTACATATGATGTATTATTGAATTGTACACTTGAAACCTATATCATTTTATTAACTAATGTCACTTCAATAATTTAATTTAAAAAAAGGAATTAGTAAGTACCATGTTGTAAGTGTTCCTATAAGGGAAGGAAAGAGTAGGATGGGAGGACAAGCTGAGTCTTGGTGGTAAGTGGGGGTGGGACATGTCAAGGAAGGATTCCCAGAGGAAGTGGCATCAAAACTGAGACACAAGGACAGGTAGGAATCTTTGAGCATTCTAAGAAGAAGGCACTGCATAGCCAAACCTAAGAGTTAAGAAAGAGCCTGATGATTGTCATCATTGTTAGAGTTCACATTGCATATGCTGAATACAGGCCCTGATGGCCCCCACTGCCAATGGACCTTGTGACCAGAGCAAGGAAGAGAGATGGAGACTAGGAGGTGGTATAGAGTCCACTAGGAGCCAAGAGGCCTAATCAGAAACCAATTAGCCTCTAGATTGAAAGAGAAAATAATATAAAGCAATTTTAGGGCTGTGTTGTAGCGAGCAAATGTGACTTTCTTTATAAGAAGAGGAAAAGGAAGAAGGGCAGAAAAAAAGGAGCCAGACACCCTGAGTTACGTAATGTGCCAGTGATGGCCACGGGGGGACCATGTGAGGAGAGAGAGGAAGCTGGAGTGCTGTGAGTGGGTGGTTGCTGAATTGGACCTTCGCTTTGCCTCTCCTGGCCTTGTGTGTCGCCCATTGCTACAGCATGGAAAGTTATTTGGGAAGCCAGACGGCTTTCATATGCAAGTAATGAAGAAGATGTATCTTCTTGAATTATCAGTCTTACTTAAAGAGTTTTTTTTTTGTGGGGGGAGGGAGGAAAGGGGAAGCTCATCTTATTTTTAAAATGTATCCAACAGATA